GTGTCAGAATTGAACAACATGTTGGTCCAACATTATCCTACAGCGTTGCTTGGGACATTGTTGATCTGTTGGAACAATTTGTTTTGTAATGTTGGGTGACTTTGAAAAACATCAGGTTGACTTCTTCCAAATGTTCATCCAACACCGTTTAACCTTTTTTGACCAAAAGTATAGGATATTGGAACTGTTTGATCGGGCGTTTGAAACTTTGAAGTTGATGTTCTGGAACACTGAACATTCAATTATGGATGTCATTAATGACGCATGTGTAACAGGGGTCATCCTAAAACTTCCCATTTTCAAAAATGGGTACTATTTAATGTAAATAGGTAGTTCTAAATGTAAAATGGGTAGTTCTAAATGTAAAATGCGTGGTTCTAAATGTAGAATAGGTAGACTCTAAATGTAAAATAGGTTGTTCTAAATGTAAAATAGGTAGCTCTAAATGTAAAATAGGTAGTTTGTGTGATGTTACTCTGAGTGTATATCCACACCGGGCAGGCTTGAAAAATATGCCTGGCCACGGCGGGATGTTCTAAATGTAAAATGGTAGTTCTAAATGTAAAATGGGTAGTTCTGAATGTAAAATAGGTAGTTCTAATTGTAAAATGGTTAGTTCTAAATGTAAAATAGTTAGTTCTAAATGTAAAATGGGTAGTTCTAAATGTAAAATGGGTAGTTCTAAATGTAAAATAGGTAGTTCTAAATGTAAAATAGGTAGTTCTAAATGTAAAATAGGTAGTTCTAAATGTAAAATAGGTAGTTCTAAATGTAAAATGGTTAGTTCTAAATGTAAAATAGGTAGCTCTAAATGTAAAATGGGTAGTTCTAAATTTAAATGGGTAGTTCTAAATTTAGTCCAACATTATCGGCCTACATCGTTGCTTGGAACATTGTTGATCTGTTTGAACAATTTGTTTTGTAATGTTGGGTGACTTTGTTTGACCAAAAGTGTTGGATATTGTAATTGTGCGATCGAGCGTTTGAAACTTTGAACAGTTGATGTTCTGGAACTCTGAACATTCAATTACGGATGTCAAGACTTCCCATTTTCAAAAATGGGTAGTTTTTAATGTAGATGCATGGGTAGTTCTAAATGTAAAACGGGTAGTTCTAAATGTAAAATAGGTAGCCCTAAATGTAATGGATAATGTTGGACCAACATGTTGTTCTGAACGGATATTGACAAGGGTGTCAATGTCCGTTCAGAATTGAACAACATGTTGGTCCAACATTATCCTACAGCGTTGCTTGGGACATTGTTGATCTGTTGGAACAATTTGTTTTGTAATGTTGGGTGACTTTGAAAGACATCAGGTTGACTTCTTCCAAATGTTCATCCAACACCGTTTAACCTTTTTTGACCAAAAGTATAGGATATTGGAACTGTTTGATCGGGCGTTTGAAACTTTGAAGTTGATGTTCTGGAACACTGAACATTCAATTATGGAAGTCATTAATGACGCATGTGCAACAGGGGTCATCCTAAAACTTCCCATTTTCAAAAATGTGTAGTTTTTAATGTAAATAAGTAGTTTTTAATGTAAATAGGTAGTTCTAAATGTAAAATGGGTAGTTCTAAATGTAAAATGTGTAGTTCTAAATGTAGAATAGGTAGCTCTAAATTTAAAATGGGTAATTCTAAATGTAAAATAGGTAGCTCTAAATGTAAAATAGGTAGTTCTAAATGTAAAATGGGTAGTTCTAAATGTAAAATGGGTAGTTCTAAATGTAAAATAGGTAGCTCTAAATGTAAAATGGGTAGTTCTAAATGTAAAATGGGTAGTTCTAAATGTAAAATGGGTAGTTCTAAATGTAAAATGGGTAGTTCTAAATGTAAAATAGGTAGTTCTAAATGTAAAATGGGTAGTTCTAAATGTAAAATGGGTAGTTCTAAATGTAAAATGGGTAGTTCTAAATGTAAAATAGGTAGTTCTAAATGTAAAATGGGTAGTTCTAAATGTAAAATGGGTAGTTCTAAATGTAAAATGGGTAGTTCTAAATGTAAAATAGGTAGCTCTAAATGTAAAATGGGTAGTTCTAAATGTAAAATGGGTAGTTCTAAATGTAAAATGGGTAGTTCTAAATGTAAAATGGGTAGTTCTAAATGTAAAATAGGTAGTTCTAAATGTAAAATGGGTAGTTCTAAATGAAAAATGGGTAGTTCTAAATGTAAAATGTGTAGTTCTAAATGTAGAATAGGTAATTCTAAATGTAAAATAGGCAGTTCTAAATGTAAAATGGGTAGTTCTAAATGGCCGAAAATACTGGTAGTTCTAAAAAACGGAAAATGCCCATTCAGGACTTCAAAAATTCATTGGGGAGCATGTCCCACGATCCTCCTAACCGTTCAGGTATCCAATATGCCATGACCTCGTCTCTCGTTACTGCTACACAGCCTGTGTTCACTACCTCACAATCTGGTCTTGTCGAAATGGGCAGTTTTATGATGACACCTGGTGTGTAATAAGACATTTTCACAAGAACACACTTTTGGTTTGCAGAATTTTCACTAGCTGCATGAACTCCAGTTCATGTGTATGTGAAGAACATATGCATTTGCCAATACTAGATTCCCCTTATTACGTTTTCGTAGCGCTTTGCATTGTGGTTGTAATGGCTGGTATTCAAGATGGCTTATTTTTTGTCCTGACCCGTGCAAGAACTTTTAAAAAAACTAGGGTCAGGTGCGCGATAGCTAACAGCAAAATATTCGCAAAAACATTCAATATTTTCATTCGAGGCCACTGAGTCCGCTATCTTTATCAGTGATACCACTATAACCACAATGCAAAGCGCTACGAAAACGTAATGAGGGGAATCTATATTTTTTTGAAGAATTTATGTAGTCTATCACTTTTGATCTGGCTATACTCGTATCTATCTATACACAGGACGTGTTTTCTTTGCATATTGAAAAGGAGAAATTTTTAGTGGCAATAAATAATTCTAGGCCTACTATGCCAAAATGATAGGCATGCTATCAGGCAGGCATACTTAACAATGTATTATCATGTTATATGTTATTGAGATCAAGGTTTAATGACTTCCTAATCGGTTAAACAACCGTTCCAAAGTCAAACAAAGGGCGTATATCAATAGAAAGGTGATTGGACGGGGGAGGTCTGGAGTCGCAGTAATTTTCCCCCAACTGAGTAAAGTTTCAGATCGGAGTGGCTGTAACGAACTTCATAATAACCAGTTGACAGTTGTATAATTTCATTGATTTGTTCTCATTATCGTTATCGTCCTTCCCACATTGCGATGATCCACGACAAGCCTGCGGATCTGAATCAGTCCGTGATAATATATCATTTAAATAATTATTGTAATTGAACCTGTCAGAAACACAATTGTTACTGATTAATTAAGCTTGCCATATTTTAACTACAGTTCACTGTATACCTGTTCTGAAGTGTTCTCACGAGAGATCAAGTAAAGCTCATCCGTCACTATAGTTCAGTAAGCCGCAGGAGGAGACTCCACTTTGTTTCAGACATGCATATGCAACCCGCTCTACCGGAAAATACATAGCCTTGTATATAGAGCCTCGTTTCTGTTATTGAGACAGTAGATTTAGAGCCCTTTATTATTATTTTTGAAATAATATTTTAACAGGGCGTCCATATCTATGTGATTCATTAGTATTGTAGCTCTACAAAGCCTTATTAGTATTCTATATATATCAGTAAATTAAACTCACTGAGAGTATTAATCGACAAAAAAATATAACTGATAAAAAATACTCCCCAAAAATATAAAGAAAAAAAGAATTCTTTGTGGATGTGATCATGTTCTAAGTCGGCTCGGTCTTCGTGGCGTCTAACCAATTCTCAGGAGTTTGTGTCCCATTGTCTATCCTATATATTTAAGACTATTGGGAAATAGACATGTTATAATAGTTAGAATTAATGTTAAATAAGACCTTTTTCAGACTAACTTTGAATCATTCCACTCCGACTTAAGGAATGGTAGCAGAAACGTTGCTTGCCCCAATTCGTCTTGCATGACTTTACCTATATCAAGAAACATGTACATCAGACTTGTTACCAAAGACATGATTCTAAACAGGTCTTTTACATTATTATTATTATTAATTATTATTATTATTATAATTTTCTAAAATTTCACATTAAGTAGCAATTAAATAATATACGCACTTAATTATAGCCTAATGCGAATTACAGTTAAAAATAAAGAAAATATATGAATGCTACACTACTCTATAGTGTAGGAATATACTGCATTAAGAATATGCTAAATTTTTTTATATTTTTCAATTCCATACTTTGCAATTGCACTATTTTTAAAACGTTGTGTTTGACAGTTAAAATTATAAAATTTCTCTCCGTTATATATAAGGTTACATTCCACCAAAGCGTCGATCTTCATATGTTAACTCAGGAAGCATTATTTGGAAGCAGGTATGATTTCGTGCATGAATCAATTCCAACAAGATCAAGGGCTCTAAACCTATATCTGAATCAGGAAAACGAAGCTTAATTCATACCGCTTTCCGCGGGTATGTATGGGGCCTACTACGTTGTATACTACGTAAATTACGGCAGATTTCTGCTTAGTCAAAAAAGAGGATATTTTTCATAACGTTTTTCATATATACACTTCGTATCCAAATAGAATACATCCAACATTCTGAATCTCTTAGAAATTTTAACATATAGGGACTGGAATATATATATCTGTATTTTGAATATTTTAATTAAGTGATCTATAGATAAATTTAATTTTTGATCCATGCATCTATATCTGTATATACCCATTTATATCTGCACAGGATTGTGCTTTCTTTGCACACATTGCAAAGAAACAAAATATGCCCTGTATATGTTAGTACAATGAAATATAGTTTTGTCTTTAACTCCCCCCCTGTATACAATTGTATAGAAGAAGTTCGTAAACAGTCGGGCAGATATATAGGGGAAGTTTTACATTTGGACCACAATGTTAAATGGCCTTAAGGGGCACTTGGGCAATTAAACATGCATGAGTCGGATGCACTGCCACTGGCAAGAGGCCAACTGACATTCGCTGCGACATTCATCCTGGGAATGCAATCATATAAAACGAGTGGTGTTTCACTAAAATCAACACATTTCACCAAGTCATTCATGTTGGAAGAAGCGAAAAGAAGATCTTTTTATTCAGGTAATTTTTATTTCTGCGGCTGGCTATATATTGCATGGACAACATTTTCTGGGTGCATATATATTCTTTTCTTGTAACTGAGTGCTGTTATAGCAAGAAAGTGATAATGCTCAATGCAAAATATTGTACCGAATTTGTAAATTCTAGTTTGCACTGATAAAGGATCGTGAATTACGACTGAAAACGTGCATGCTTTATATTGTTCTAACCTTTCATGAAAAAGTAGTTGCACGTCATATATATATTTCCTGGTGATGCAGACAGAAATTTTATGTTATATTTGACGATTTATTTGAATACTATATTACAAAGCGAGAATGCAGGAATTCACTGAGATAGTCAATTTTGTGCAGTCGATCTCTTTAATGTGTGCAGCACCAACCATGCTTGTCTGCTAAACGATCTTGTGCATGGTTTAGTTTTTCGAAGAGTACCTTTTTTAGAGTTTGTCAGTGGGGGTGGGGAAAGGGGCCAGCAAGACACCTATAACTAGACGGTGGTAGGCTGAAAAAGTGGGAACTGGTGGGGTATATCTGGGGTGGTACATCCCCAGAAAATGTTTGTATCTATAAGCCTCGATCTGCATGGGGCTTGTTTTGCATGCATCGTTCATCCCCTTGGTAGGCAAAGGTTTGATCATGTGATGGGAATACTAAAGCACTACATATATATATATACATTTTAACTAAATTATTCGTCCATTTTTGGCTTATATTTAGACCGAAAGGCCCTTAATTCACTGGAGGAGGGCGTAATATAGTTTACTGCGGGAAAAAATTAGACGTGCCCCCCAGTTCATATAGTACATGGTTCAAGACCATGCTATGCTAGCTATATTATGGATTATTTTGCAATATTATACCATGCAATCAGTTTAATAAGTTCTTTACGAGAATTTACTTTTTTTGCCTAGATAAAAAATTAGTCTAACATGCAAGTTGTCTATTTATAAATAATACACCATGTTATTCTGTCATATTGACATTTTCTGTTGCATATACTATAAGTAAAGCTAGCAACACTTAAAATACCTACGATTTCAAGGAGTTCATTGTACACAACATACGGTAGTTTGCTGTAGAATTTTTTCTCCATGCAGTGGGTGAAATATTGCTATATTTTTCCTGTAGATATGTGGATTTTATTACTACTTGCAGTGCCTTGCTTGGCAGTTTTGCCTACCGACCCACCACCGGAGAGATGTTTTGCTGAAGCTGCCACGAAATATATAACTTGTCAACCCGTCTTTGGAAGACCAGCTGCTTGCTACTGCACAGGCAAAGAACCGGCGTGTTATATTAAAATGATTCTTTCTAAGATTCAGATTAAGACTAAAACTAAGATTAAGACATTGTTTTTAATTAACGGGTCGTATCCAGGTCCAACCATAATCATACGGCATCGAGGGATTGTGGCCATTGATGTTTATAATACTATGAATGAAGACACTTCTATACATTTTCATGGAATGCGTCAAAAGAATGTTCCATGGATTGATGGAGTGGGAAATATCACACAGTATCCTGTACAAGCTTATGGCAAATTTAGGTAAAGTAAAGCGAATACTGTATAGTGAGGCCAGTATAGAAAGGGGTTTTTGCAAGGCAAGGCATGGCGAGGCAACTTATATTAAGGCAAAGCAAAGCATAGCAAGGCAAGGGAAAGGGAGGGAAGGGAACGCACGGTAACTTATATTAGGGAAAGATAAGGTAAGGCACGGAGGCAATGCAATGCAAGGTATAAGGTATCAGGGTTTTTTTCAGGGATTTTTTAGGGCCGTTAAACGGCCCCAAAAACTCAATCTTGAATTGAGTTTTGAAACTCAATCTTCTCACCAAAGTTTAAGTTTAGTAAAAATGAAGTTGTTTGAGTTAAATTCGTCACGTGTGGAAATTAGTTTTCAGTTAAAAACCCGACAATTAAAAAAAATGGCTGGTATTCATCTCACAACACAAGAAAAACTATGCATTTGTCATCTTTAACCAGCTTATAGTGTCCTTTAGTGCCCCTGCTTTAACACATTTCGTCTCAACTACATTTATTGAGTACAGGTAGGGGGGGGGGAGGTGCAGCCACCCAGCTGTTTAGCTAAACTCAATCTTCTCTGCAAAAACGGACCCAAGAGAAAATCCTGAAAAAAACCCTGGTAAGGTATATACTAAGGCAAGCAAGGCAAGGTACGGTAGCTTATATTAAGGCAAGCCAATTAAGGCAAGACAAGGCACAGTACGTAACTAACCAGTAGAAGTCTATATCACTGCAGCTACCAGCATATATATGCATGGTTTACATAGGGCAGCTGATCAGGCCCGCGTAAAAGATTCTGAGACAACCGAGTCGAGCACCGTCTGGAGGGATCTGAGGGCCCTGAAGCTCAGATAAGCTTTTCCAGCATGTTAAGAAATGTTCAAACAAAAAATTAACCTTATAAACAATGACACAATTACTGCAATTTTACAGTCTCCCACGGCAACATGCATGTGATGATGCGGTAATGAAAATGTGCATGGTATAGTAGTATTATCATTCACCACACTTCAAATTCTACAGTACTGTATAGTGTATTGGATTTATTGGGGTACTTGATATCGACGCATTCGTCTTCTCAGTGTCACTGAAGAGCAAGTTAGTAGGGTGGTCTCTTTGGAATATCTTAAACTAAACTCGAATTTCGTTCTAGAATGCCATTTCATGCCTTTTTCCACGAGCAAATTATTTCAGCCATGGTTTATAGGTTTCTGACGAATGTTTAAATTTTAGTCTCCAAATTCCTACCGAGTCAACTGACTCGGTTGACTCGGTAGTTATACGGGCCTGCAGATGATGGTCAAATTCAGAAACTATAAATGTTAACAACTTAACATCATTTTCTCACTTTGATATATAATTGCTGGTTGACCACCTACTGCAGGTAGTTCTTAGGGATCTTGCACTGGGGGGGGCGGCGCCTTTTCAGCTCTTACTTTATTTAAGACGACGTGGGAGAAGACGTCTCAAGTATGTAAAACGTTAAAATGATAAATAAATATGATAAATATAATTTAGACATTTTCAACGAATTCCATTGAGTACTGGTCTTCTTTGTTCGCGCGATCACAAAAATGTTCTACTGATTATTTAACTTCGCTGCGAGTGTTCGCAACTGAGCTCAACTGAGCTGTAAGGCAAGGCAAAGCAAAGCAAAATAGGGCAAACAAGGCAAGACTAAGCAAGGGAAGGGACGGGGAGGGGAGGGAAGGGAAGGCAATGCAAAGCAAAACAAACAAAGCAAAGTACACCCTGTAGTGCACAGGCAGAATATTTTAACAGCTAGACGAATCCAAATATCTTTAAAAACCACAAAATTTTTTGAAAACTCAAAAGTACAACTGGCATTGTAATCCAAAATATGCATTATGAACGGCAACCTGCAGACGGCTAAACCCTGGTTTCCATATGGTCGTAAAAATCGGTCGAGTCACGATCTTTCTCATCAGCCGAAATACAACATTTTAGAACTGAAAATACGCGGAGTGATTATAACTAGAGAATACTTCTGATGTGGTTTACAGGTATAAAATATTATAAACTGGCCGTTGAGAAAGATCGTGACTCTATTTTTACGACCATTACAACCATATGGAAGCCAGGCTTAAATTAAGTGGATTTCCAGTCCTCGCACGAAGCTCTTCGCTGCGGGTGCATGCATGAGCACTTTCATCCAATCACAATGCTAAGCAGTTAATTTTAATTAGCCTTTCTCACGCCGCCATTTTTGGTTGGCATTTCAGCCCATAGATACAGGAGATCTAGATTGCTAACGCATACCTAGCGCAGGCGGGGCCTACATGATAAATCCAAGATGGCGGTACAACAGGGCAAAAAGACTATAGATTCTATTACGAAAATCAGGATTTTTGCATTTTTTGCCGTCGCATTGCTTCGAAACTTATTCGGTCAAATTTTATGGTAAAGAGAAACTTACCGCGGAGATTTTGAGCGTATATATGATTGAATTGGATGAAAAATCGCAAAATTATCCAGCGATAAAAGTTCGTGTTAAATGGTCAGTTGGAGCGTTTTATTGCCAGAAATACTGTGCTATGTTAACATCTAGCCTTGTGAATGGTGTTTTATACTTGCATCTCTCATCATCATCTGCTCTGTCCTCATAATTATGAAAAATGAACTGTTATGTACCCCCCCCCCCCTCCTTGCTTGTGAAAGAAGTAAACTGATGAGAGCACTGGATGAGGGTCTATCATCTATGGTCTGTTATAATTTGCTTTTTATGCAAATAGTGAGCAAAAATTAAAGCAAAACTGTACAAGTTACATATATAGTACTATATCAGTACTATACACGAACTTTTATCGATGGATAATTTTCCGAGTTTTCATCCAATTCAATCATATATATGCTTAAAATCTTCGCGGTAAGTTTTTAAGATGAAGGGAAAGGTAGCAGCTTCTCACTTTTGTGACTTTAGTAATTCAAACCTAAGAGATCCTATGATGATGCTACAGTCTCTTGCTAGTCAGATGTGTGAAAATATTACTGGATTTAAAGAGAAGCTTCTTGATCAGTTGAGGCGACCTCATCAAGTCCAAAACTTAAAGTATGCCTTTAGAATATACTTGCAAAATCCCCTTGATGAATTGGATTTAGAAGAACCAAGTTTAGTCGTGATCGATGGCTTGGATGAAAGTGCAGCAGATGATAAGAATGAAATTATGAATTTGATTGCTGATTATTTTAAAGATCTTCCCGAGTGTATAAAGTTCCTGGTGACCAGCAGGCCGGAGATTGCCATAGGAAAACTAAGTGATGTTCAAAAGATTAATATTGACAGCAATGATACATTGATACCAAGAATAACTCAGATCTTGAATTGTACCTTAAAGCTTGCCTTCCACGTCTAGCCGACAGAAAAGCAAAAATTCCTTGGTTTTTTGAATACGGAGATCCGGTTCCAACTGTGTGTGAAGAGCTTGCTAAGACGAAGTGCCAGGGTTCATTTCTGTATGCGTTTTACGTTCAGTCTGAGCTACGGAAACGCGATGATCTTGATAAGATGACATTGGATGAAATCATGACGTTTGTCCCAGAAGGCCTGGATTCAATTTACTTGAAATATTTTAATCGCCTTGAAAACGAGCTAAGAGCCATAAGGCATGGCAGTCTTGATGTGCTGAGAATTTTGGAAATGCTCGCAGTTTCTGAAGGCCCTCTTCCCCTCAGTTTCATCTCTCGTGCTCTCGGTTTGGCTTCAGATTGTCGCGAAACGACAAAGATCATTAACAAAGTCAACGAAACGGTATCCTGTTTGCTCTACGTTTCCGATGATCTGGTGACCGTTTTTCACAAGTCCGTTATTGATTGGCTTCTTGCAGAAAAGGCTACAAAGATCACGAGTATACCGTCAAAGTCAGTGATGGAAATAAATCCCTTTGGCTGAGATGTGAACAAGTTTTTGAAGAAATTAAGAAGAGGGTTTGCTCGTTAGATGACTTAAATTTAACTAATGACGTGAAGTATGCTCTGGATTACGGCTTTCGATATCTAAAAGCATGTAATATGGAGGAGAGTTTCTTTTGGGTGGTAGATTTTGTAATCATATACGTATTTTTTACTATCTTCCCCCTAGAAGAAGACTATCTATTACGTTTCTGGGCAGAAATTCTTCAAGGTTCTTTGGTCAGTGACAAACTACGTGAACGCATTTTATGGCATGTCTTTGAAATTGACTTTCTGAAAAATAAATCAACGCTAAAGACGAGATCATATTATTTAAAAAGTGTCCTTACACATTCTCCTGAAGGATGTTTCAGTGATAACGAGAAGAAAATTGCAGAGTCGCTTTTGTCGAAGGTTCGACGGTTTGTCGAGTACAGTAACTTTAATGAAGTGGAGGTTTTGCCTTTTGCAGCGTGGCATCATAATCCTGCAAGGCCAGAATATATAGATTGGGACACGGTTTGGGAGCCAGGGATTAGCGCTGTTGGTTTGTCCCACGATAAGACAATGGCAGCCGTTGGAAACATGGATTGGACTATCAGTGTAATATCCGTACCAAGTTTGGTTAAGCTTTGGGAATATTCAGCAGAATTGGGAAGTATGAACCTACCCACTCCAGTGTGTTGCGTATTCGCTCCAGACGATTCATTCGTTTTATTTGGGATACTGGAAACTGTTCTTAACATTGCTGAAAGAAAGCTAGTAACATTTTTCCACGGAAGTAAAGAGGCGTTTTCGTCGTGTGCATTTTCTCCGAGCGGCAAGAGGCTGCTAACTAGCAACGGCTCAAACACCATTAAGTTATGGGACGTCTCTAGGCAAAGCTTGCTGTCGTTACTTTGTGCTGACGTGTGTGTTAATTGGTGCTCTTTTAGCAGCTCAGGGTTATTTATCATTGGAGATAGGAAAGATGCTGTTGATCGTTCGCACGAAGACGTGTGTTTCTGGGAATCAAACGATTTTATAATTGAAGACAGGAGACCAGAAGATTCATTTTGCGTTTGGAATGCTATTACCTGGCAAAGAAGTGATGAGCGGAACAAACGTTATGTAAAGCTAAAGGAACCAGGAGTATTGCAGAATAAGAAATGTAACCGTTGTTTTCGACCAGGATTTCAAGAATTAAACTCTTCTAAAAGATTATAAATCGAACTTTGTGTGCCGTTGATGTTTTCGAGAGACTGCCAATTCGAAGCCAGGTCGATGGGGATCTACAATGGTGTAAATTGTATTTTTTCTTTGAAAGGTTATGTTTTAAGTGTCATAGAAAGTACTCATTTCACTACGCTTGCTTCCTGGAACTTTTTTCTTGATATTTCTTACTATGTCGAGCGGAATAATGATTGCCTTTGCCAAATAACAGCACTTGAAGATGATCTATGGTTCTATGCGGATGTGAAAAAATTAATTGTCTTTAGAACGTTAGCCCCAACACAAGAACACTCGCCTGCCACGTCCAACACGGGTTCTTTCAAGTTCGTTTTCTCCTGATGGCTCCCGACTTGCAACTTGTACCTCAGATGGATATATCAACATTTGGAATGTATATACCAGCCAGGTTGAACAGCGTTTCAAAAGTAGTCAAGGCGATTCGTCATTTGCTTGTTGGTGGTCGGAATTGCTCTTGTTCGTGTTTGACTTTTTTGACAGGGTTCCCAGCTTAACAATATACCTGGATTTCAATTTAGAGAACGCGTCCTCTCAGAGCGACCAAGTGTCGCTGTGTCATTTGTTGGAAGAGTTCGTATCCTTCTCAGCACTTGTTAATTTTTCAGAGGGCTTACTCATCTTCGAGTGCGGAAATACGAAGCCTGTTAAAGTTCTTGATGTTAAGGGAATAGGAGGACCGCGAATGGTCACCTTACCAGAAATTAAGGCTGGGATGAATATTATTGTATCGCCTAAAGCTTTCTTTGTCTTTGGTGGTAGTATCAGTTTTTTTTGCATTTGGGTTAGAATTACTGAGGAACCATGGTCAGCAACGTACGAAGTCCTTGTTACTGGCGCTGATACCGACCTTCAACCATATGAATGCCATTTTGCATGTTGCTTCACTAACGATTCTACAATCGCTGTTGTTCGGAACAAGTTCCCTGATATACAGACTATTAATATAATAGATCCGGATAGCGGCGATGACAAAGATATACGTTTGGAAGAATCTTGTAACGATTCCAAGCTTTTTTGTCTTAAAAAGGACAGAGTTGTTATCGTTCCATCTGATCACGTTATAAATTTTTTTGACATGGAATCTGGTGCGCTTCTCAATTCTTGTTTTCAAAGATATTTAACAAAGGAGAGCTAGAGCACCTAAAACTTTCCCCAGATGAAACCATGATAGCTCTTCCCAAGATGAATGGCAATATGGAGTTTCTTCGACTGTGTATTCCACAAGACCCGTTGTTGTCCTGTATCAAACGTGAGGCAGCTACTAAGTGGCCGTACAAAATCATGCGCTGGTGAAAACAACATGTTATGTCGGAGTTTTTTATACTTTAGGAAGAACAAGATTGGTAAATACGACAATGGCGTCCTCGTCGATTTCAACGTATGAACATTTAGAGCGATGACAAAGGTTCTTTCAACAAAGGACGTTTAAATAATTGTTTTGATGGATGTTTTTGGGCAGCGGCTAGACTTTGCTTGGAGCCAGTCTAGAATGGAGAAGTAAGACACCTCCTTCCCTCCGCTTGCCTGGGAGTTCACCTTGGGCAAGTGATAGTACTCCCTCGCCTCCCTACCTGGGGTTACAGGTTCTAACCATTGGTCAAGTATCAGGTAGAAAACAATTTCAAGCAAAGCTCTTACCTTGCTTGAGATCATGACCATGAAAAACTGATGGAATGCTTTTGAAAAAAGATTATTTATTAATTGCGATAAATGTCAGTCGTATGATGGTGTTGGTGGTAATGATCATAGGTGGTGATCTAGAGATGGTAGTACAGTAATATTACTGATGGTGGTGTTGGTCATTATGATGATGGTGAAAATTGCGGTGACAGTGATTGTGGTCGTGATGATGACTAAGATTGCAGTGTTTTGATGGTGATAATGTGATGGTTATTATTGCGATGTTGTGATTGTCGTTATAATGGTGATTGTGGCGATGATAAAGATGACAGTAATAATTGTGTTAAAAATGACAATAGTTAAGGTTGTGGTTTTGTTACTTAGGCGGTTATGATGGTATAAATAATGATGATTGTTACGACGATAAGAGTGTTGATTATAATTGATGGTGGTGGTTAATTGATAGTGGTAATTATGATGACAGCAAAATAATAGAGAAACAGTTGCCTGGTTGCTGCTTTCGCCTATCTTTCTTGTCAAGAAAAGTCATCGTTGGTATTTATCGTTTACTGAAATCAAGCAAATCTTAAAAACTTGACTGGCATGAAAAAGCAAGGAAGAAACTATGTACTTGTCTGACAGATCGGATTTGTGAGAACTTAAAAGGAATAGAAAGACAATTTGATGAAAAATGTTGTAAGTACTTTTGTTTTTGTTTAAAATACGATATTTAGCAAAGCTTTGAATCTGTAATCCCGATCATTATCAGTATACAATGGATTATATTCTGAATATGTTCTTGTATAACTAGTAATTATTGTTAAATAAGGTCATTTAGGTTCCAGGTTCTTAAACTAGTTCTTATTTTAAAAGTTGTTGGTACATGTAGATGTGGTCTACTATTTCTTAAGAACTCTCATGCCTGGGGCAAACAAGAACAAGAGTTACATGGCACGTAGAGAAATTTTTAAACATCAAAATTTTAAACAGTTCAAAAGTCAAACGCGAGCGAGTTGCAATATCTCATCAACTCTGAAATATTCGTATCTTAATAGAAAAACTTAAATAGTCTAACACAGTAACATTTTCTTGAAATCGGTAACGTGTAATGTCAAAATAATCGATGATAATATATAGAACATATTTGATCATCTAACAGATTGAAAACTTTGCTAAATAAACGCGATATTTTCCATAAAAAGAAACGCAGCTGTATTGTATTATTGATCTCGACTCCGAAACTACGTATACGTAGAACTAACTGTATTTAAAGTGGTTCCGACCCGTACAGGCGGAGATATGAAATTGGTCTATGATTTCCTTTAATTGTTGTTTATATATAGTCTTATAGATAAAAATAGCTTTCAACATTCCGGAACGACTTTGTATTTGTATAAAGACACACTGATATTATATTGTAGAAATATTGTACAAATTTATTGATAGCATGGTAATTGAATTTTGTAGTTTGGTAGATTTGTAATAGAACAAAGCTATTAATTGGTTTTACTAATGTAATATCACAGATCGAATAAAGATCAGTAACAGAAGGGCCACTCAGCGGTGCAACGTGTCCTCGTTTTTTTATGCAAAAATATGCAGTTTACTGGCCAGAAGGCGGAGCAGCCAGCCAGTACAGCGTGTTTATTGGCCAGAAAATGTTATTGACTGGCTAGGAAAATCGCGGCCAACATGCGTAATGCGACATGCGCGAGGACAAAAACTTCAAAGCTTTCGACGTAAGTGGCCCTTCTATATGGATCTTTATTCTACAGGGACCGCGGAGACGGGGGGGCTGGG